TCAGAGATATTCGCATCTTGCTTAATAGCCTGGATCGCAAGCTGTACACGAGCTTCTTTTGAAGAAGGTAGATTATTGTGTTGTGGAGGCATCACAAATATACTGTAGTTGATAGTACAATTTGGTGAGATCTTGGCATAGTGGACAGCTCACCCGTGTGGACAGCTCACCCATGAGGTACATTACCACACATCACCGCAACCTACCAAACTCATCTAGATCACTCCCTTCAGATATATATCTGTTTTTACAGTGCCTTTTTGTCTCTCGCTTATAGAATAGTTTGACCCGAGATTCACTTTAGTGAACATTAAACACATCGGGCATGTGCTACTCATGTGGTGTATCCCCTTAGTCTAGTAATACACTGATAACGTGTTTCCCATGCGAGCTAGCACCCCCAAACGAGCTGGCACCCCAACCAACTTTTTGAACCTAACAATTTCTAACCACAATGCCTCAACAACGCAATGCATAAAAGCACTATAACGAGGCTGACTTACAGCTTGCTCTATTAACAATTAACAATAATGAGATTGAAAGCGAAAAACATGCTGCCACCATCTATAATGTTCCTCGAAGCCCTATTCAAGCCTGACGTGCTGGAGCACTCTCACGACATGACCGTGAGCCCAATTCAAAGAGGTTGACCAAGCTAGAAGAGGAGTCTATTGTCGCATACATACTTGATCTAGATCTAAGAGGAATTGGGGCCACGAGGACTATGGTTCAAGATATGGCCAACGATCTGCTTACAGAGCGAGGCCAACCACCTGTAGGCCACCACTGGGTTGACAACTTCAACAAGCATACACCTAGGATCAAGCTTTGACAGAGCTGTTCGTACGATCGACAGCGAGCTCTAAACGAAGATCCATGCATTATAGGCCCTTGGTTCTCACTTGTCCAATCTGTTAAAGAGAAATACGGCATCCAGGATGAAGATACCTACAACTTCGATGAGACCGGCTTCATGATGGGTCAGATCAAGGCTCAGATGGTTTTCACAGGCTCTGAGAAGTGGAGCACTCCAAAGAGGATCCAGCCAGGCAACTGCGAATGGGTTACTGTAATCCAGGGCATCAGTGCAGCAGGCTAGGCAATCCCACCATTTGTTATCTTCGCTGGCAAGGTGCTTATCTCTTCCTGGTACCACGATATACCTCAGGACTGGGTCCTTGAGGTTAGTTCTAATGGCTGGACATCAAATGAGCTTGCGATTGCATGGCTAAAGCACTTCAACATGCATACAAAGGCTCATAGTGTAGGCTTATACAGGCTACTGATTGTCGACGGCCATGAAAGCCATCAGTCATTCGAGTTTCACAAATTCTGCAAGGAGGAGAAGATTGTTGTTCTCTGTATGCTATCTCATTCGTTGCATTTTTTTTTCTGTCAGATGGTAAGCTAGTTTATGGACATCCCATCTGGGACTGAAGAGGAGGACTGGAAGAAACTGTTTTCGTTGCACATCCTGCAACTACTTGATTTGGTGTATTTCTCGCTACTAAAGCAGGCATATGGAGATAAGATTTCAGTCTTGGCACAGTACAGTACCAAGTATATTAAGAAGGAGAGCTTCCTGCCAGCCTTTATAGAGGCCTTTAATAAGGCCTTTTCTAGAGATCACATCTGTGCAAGTTTCCGAGCTGCTGGACTAGTCCCATACAACTCTGAGGGTGTGTTATCAAAGCTTGATGTGGTCTTTCATATGCCTACACCTCCAGCATCACAGGACGCCATATGGGAATCTAAAACACCACACAATGCCCACGAGATAGAGGCTCAATCTACACTTATTTGCGATCGGATTCAAAGACACAAAAGCTCTTCACCTGCTTCTATCCTTGAAGCTGTCAATCAGTTTAGAGAAGGTGCTGAAAAGATAGCACATGAAATGATGTTGATGTGCAAGGAAATGGCAGGGCTTCGAGAGGTAGCTGAGGCTGCAACAGAGAGAAAAGGGTGCAAAAGAAAGTATATCCGAACAGAGGATACACTTACTGTTGGTGAGGTACTTGATTTGATTGCTCCTGAGATAGTTGGTGAGGAGGGAGAGGGTAAGAAGCCTGCAAAGAGGGTTTCAGGAGAGAGGCGCTGTAGACATTGCAGCAAGACTGGCCACAATATGCGCACCTGCAACATAGAGATTGAGGATGGAAATAATAGCGATATGTCTGAATAATACTTTAGTATCCTGCAATTTACTCTATCTTGTTGTAGTGTTGAGTTATAGGCTTGCAAAGACATGTAACTTGGTTGGGGTGCCAGCTCGCTTGGGGGTGCCAGCTCGCATGGGAAACACGTTATATGAAGTAAACGTCACAAAGAGCCAATTCTGAGTCCGTAAGAAGATTAGCCCTAGTAATAAGTATGCGCAAAGACCCCCGTGTTTGACATTGAGGTCTAGCTCTCTAAATACAATCGTCGCGCGACTACGGTACCATTCTAAGCTCATCTACATCCTTGATAAGTTCACGTTTCCAGGATGCAATAGCATAACTAAGGTCACTCAAATCTAGATACTAGTAATGTAATACGTCCAAGATTGCAGAAAGTGTAGATAGTAGAGAAAATAAGATGAACATGGAAAGATGTATGATAGAAGGCTTTTCGACATATGAAGGAGAGGATTACTGAATAAACGTTGAGAATCGAAAAAGTGCAACAATCTGTATATTCATTGTAATATGGAAGACGTCCGCTACATAGCAGCCGTCGAGGAGATTGCGAGATGAAATAACTGGACGGAATGAAAGTGATGCGCGGTTAGAAGGAAAAAGCGAATGGTGTTAGAACCCTACGCAGTACAGGACCTGGAGCTTTAGACGATGCAGAAGAATCCATTCTCGTTTGACTCCAACGCCTTGTCGCCACGTCCCTTTGCGTTTGCATTACATTCCTTCCACTCGCGGAAGGACGCATGGCCATGGTCGCATGCGTTGCACTTGATGCGCCCGTTAGACTTACGTTCGACGCACTCGACCTCCGCAGCCGTATTGCTACCGACAGCATTATCAAGAGGAGTGTCTACAAGTGGCCAGTTTACGATAGCCTCTTCATCATCCATTTTCGTGAGCAGGGTCCCAGGCTTCACTTTCTCCCGAACTTTCTTGATTCGCTGGGCCTCTTTTGCCGCAGCCTCCTGTACTTTGCGCTTTTGCTTCAGCTTCTCGGCGCGGATGGCAGCAGCCTTCGCCTCCTGCTGTTGCTTCTTCAGTGCTTCGCGGCGAGCCTTGTCTGCTTTGCGCGCTTCAGCGCGGCGCATCTGTTCTTCAGATTCTCGGTGTTCGGTTTCGGCGCGTTTCTGGGAGGCAGAGAGGTGGCGCTTCGTTTCGTGAGATTGCTTGGTGGCAGTGCGACGACTCTGCGTTGATTCAGCCTGGATCTTCTCTCCGCTCGCATTGCGAAGAGAACTGGCAATGTTCTGGAGATGGGTATGGGTTTGTTGCTGTTTTTGCGTTGAATCAGCCTTGTGTGATGCAGCAGTCTTCGGGCTGGCGAGGGCGTTCAACCACGCCTCTTGCTCCGCTTCACGTACTTTGAGTTTGTGCTCGTACTCCTGGATCTGAGTCAAACAGTACGAGTATGCGATAGGATCGTCCGCACGTTCTTCAGCCATGTCTCGCCAGAGGGACAACGTGATCTGAATCCCAGCGAGGTCCATGGATGCATCTTCGTAGTCCCGCTTCAGGCGGTCCTTTTTGATTTGCGCAAGCTGTAGCTCGATACGTGTCCGTAAAGCCTCCTTCGCAGCAGGGGTTGTGATGAACACAGAGGGGCGACCGTTCTGCTTGAATGCTCGAGAGCGTTGAGCATGATGAAAGGTTGAGCAATCAAGGTTCACTTTGTTTCCGTCTCGTTGTAGTTCACGGTCATATGCCGCCCTGAGCGCAGGATTTGTGAGGACGTCGTATGCCTCCTGAATCGCACGGAACTTGGCTGCGTGTTCGGCTCGTTGGGCGGGTTCTAGACCGTGTGAGTTGTCGGGATGATAGATTAATGCGAGCGCCTTGTAGGCAGACTTGATGACCGGCATCAAAGCGGTTGGGTCAAGCCCCAGTGCCTCATAATGAGTTTGAATCGACATTTCAGTTTCCTGGCGATGTATACGTAAGGTTCCGTTCCACTCCGGTTGCAGTTCACTGGAAAATCAGCAGAGGCAGCTTTTAAAATGTCCGAACCGAGTTGCTCACAATGTTTTAGCCATCGTATAATGTGGCCGTGAAACGAGACATGTTGTATACAAGTATCTGAACCGTCGCTCCTGCAAAACATTGTTCATGTTTGTGTCACTTCTGAGTAAACCGTAGCAGTGGTGAGACAGGAGAGGGCAATGTTGCTCCAAGATGTAGAGACTGCTTTACGCCCAATGCGGATGTACCTGTCACTGGCCATGGCATTGTAAATGGGCTCCTCAGAGGCTGAGAAAGGTCACATCCGCTCCAGTCATTCTCATGGCCCATGTGACGCTAAGGAGGTGGCGATGGGTGCTGAGGCCAACAGAAGTGAGGACACTCAATCTTCCACGTCCACGCCCCGTCCGGGTTCTCCGGCGCAAGGATACAGTTACTGGGCAACCTCAAGCAGACGCCCTTCTCACTCAGACAATGTGCAGGAACGGGAGACCACCCGCAACCAAAGTCCGTGCTTGTGGGAAGCTGAAATCCATCCCGCGGCGAGAACTGAACGGTGGCATCCAGAAACCACGCCCCACGAAAATTTGTCATTAGGCGCTGGGCGGAGGCAAACCGAGTGGGAGCCGCTGCCACAAACGGAAAGATTCTCGGATATTGACCTGGTCGGGGTTCAAGAGAGACAACGGAGAGAGTTGTTGTGTGTTGTTGTCGATGCCGCGGTCCGAAAGAACTGTAGACGCAACAAGTGCTCGATAGTAGAAGGCGTTGGAGGTTATGTAGAAGGGGAAAAGATTCTGTGTCGTCAAAAGAAGGTATTCGATGGCGTGCTTTCCAAGACGAATTCGTACCCCGATCCGGGAAAGAAGGGGATTCTCTTGGCACTGAATAGGGTGTGCAGGTGCCCTCCACCCTAGCCAGCACACGCTGGAGCACACCTGGGCAGCTGCATGCCTCCACGCAAAATAGAGTTCTCTTGAAGGCTCGTGGGATTTAGATCGACTGTATACAGTATGACAAGCGATGCAGCCCTTGGAATCTGTCCTTTTGCTGAGCGGTCCTGACCAGTGAAGGGAATCGTCACGTGGCACATCATAAAAGCTTATCATAAAACACTGGCCTAAGGATCCTTCCGTACTCAAGGTATCTCGATTTCTCCATCCTAAATGCGGTAGAGATTGTTTGACTTTGTTGGTGTTTGGGTTTCCCGACTTAGGTTGTTGAAAAAGGCCACTTGTTTCTCTGGCCGTCGGCGACATCCAAATAGGTCTACAAGTATCCGTTACACAGTACATAGTCGGTGGGTGGAAGTGAGAAGTGATGCAATAGCACGCCATACCAAATACCAACCAGTCTAGGTTACTGGAGGCTTGCCCTAATCGGGAAAGAGAGCATGAGACCGGGGACGACGGGTTTGCTAGTTTACGGCAGACAAGCATTCCTGAGACAGGCTTAGGTACATAGGTACCAAGGCGACGTCAATGGCTGTAGACTACCTGAAAAGACGCAAAGTCACTTGGGTCGCGCCTGGATCTGGAACGATTTAAACGTTCGATTTCTCTCTTTAGCGCGGCTGGAGCGCTGGTGTGGGCAGACTCATATTGGTGCTCTCTTCAATATTTACGTACGGATGAAGGTAGGCGTGGGGGCATGCTTTGTTGTTGAGACATGGGGACTCTCCAAATGGGGAGGCAGTGATACAAAGGCACAAAACCGAAATTTCATACAGCTGCAGAGCCCGAGCGATGGGTATACAGATCTTTTCAGGGTTTTCCTCACTCATGGCTAGTAAGATGGGATAACTCTGCAGCTCCGAAGTATGGCATTCTGTTCGGATTCGAGGTTGGCTGACAGCAGTCAACAGCAGTGGGAAGGAAACTAGGAAACGGGGACGGAAAGGCGCATGGCGGGATGCCTGCATAAGCAGCCGTGGAGGGCTCCAAAAAATCGAGTACATAGAATCTAGCGGAGTGGGGAAGAAAAACGCGGGCTGAACGTTTGGGGTCACGATGTAGGGACGGGGTTCTTATAGGTTGCGGGTTCCTCCCTCCATGCAACACGACGTCTCACATCTCCCAACCTCGCCTGCACCTTCACCCGCACCACTCTACCTCCCAACCACGACTACCTCCGCCTCGACTGCCATACACGGATCCTCCCTTGATCGCTGATGGAGAGTAATGTCGCGTTCTGCACATCAAGAGTCTGGAGCGCCGACCTTCATCGCTACATCTGCAAATCCGAGTTTGTCTGGACTTGAACCAGTATTCAGCCCCGTCACCGCCATGGATCCCAACCTGCTGGAGGGCGCCGACTGGTATTCCCATCCCGGCGAACTGCATCATGCACCGCCTGCAATCTCGCCGCAGCACGAGCATTTCGGCATCAATTTTGGCCCAGGCTTCGCGTCGCACAGTGTGCCTGTGAGCTCCGAGGCCCTTCACAGTAGGTATACTCTCTCGCCTCATTTTCTCTAAGTCGCTACCGACCTCCATCTGCTCTCCACCCTCTCGTCCACCTTCTTCTCTCCTCCCATGGTTATACATGCTGCGCCGCAGTGTTCCCCATGGCTCCAACAATGCCCTGCACAGCGATTCCTGCATTTCCTGGGGTTCAGCGTAGATGGCATGTCGTCATCTCGCTAGTTTGCACGCAATCGCACGTGACTTCACCTGCCTCCTGCCAACACCACTCCCTCCGCATCGAATATGAGCTGGACGCCCATGGCTCCCCCCACGTCTATTATTCTCCTCCCATTATCCATTTGTCTTATTCCTTTTCGTCTGTCATCTCACCGCGCGCTTGCCAGTCTTCTGCCTCATCTGTTACGGGTTCCTCTTCTCGGTGTCCAAACAGTCCGCTGATGCTCAATGAAAGGGACCCCCTACCCCGCGCTTCCGCTCCCGATGAATGGAGTCCCACACCATCTTGATGTAACTTCGCCGCGCTTCGAGGATCTCAGCGCCATCTCCCCGCTGCAGACCACATACGCACCTTACACAACCCCGTATCCCGACAGCACAGCCAGTTCGGCTCCATCAGAGGATCCCATCATTGCAGATGCAGACGAGGACAAGCGCAAGCGCAATCAAGCCGCCAGCGCAAGGTTCCGGCAGAAGAAGAAGCAGAGGGAGCAGCAGATGCTGGAGCAGACACGAGAGATGCAGGAACGCACCAAGAAGCTGGAAGCCGAAGTCGATAACCTCAAACGCGAGAACACGTTTCTGAAGAAGCTGCTCGTGGAGAAGGTCGACAACATGAGCGACGACGATAAGGCGTTGTTGGTGAAGACGACGGGACTTGGGACTGGGAAATGAGGTGAAGTGATGCAGGCTGGGCGATGATCGTGCTTTGACTTTTTCGGCCTTGCTCTGGGGCTTTAATACCCGATGACGACTTGACGACTTCTACATTGCTATCTTCACCGCTCTGGACTGGCGAGCACATGCTTACGTATATGTGGGATGAGGAGTAGGGTGCTGGGGAATGGGACTAGCTTCATTACGTGTTCCGGGAGCGCACTCCTGCTTCTATACAATCTGACTCCCTCTCAGGATATATCACGTACTCGCCCTCGCCGGCGAGCAACACCATCTGTCGTCCGACGGAAGACGTGCAGCCGATAGCGACAATCCACTACAAGGCCAAAAGCGCCGAGTAGCCAACACATACCTCAGCCCATAAGCGACCACACCCATAAAGCAACAAATACAAGTTGAATACACAAGATATCGTATAAATGTCGGACATTTCAAGAAGCCGCACCAAGACCAGATCGTCCTGAGCCAGGGCCGGCCCGTCAAGGAATTAGCTACTGTGGCGCGCCCGACGGGACGCTTCCGCGTCCCCAGCTGTGTATCCACGTGGGACGGACATGGTTCATGGGTCAGGGAGCTGTCTATCCTAAGAAGTCAAGAAAAGAGGAATACTTCGGTTTCCGCGTTGTTGGGTACAGCCCTACCTACCGCATGCCATTTTGGTTCTCTCTGACGCAATGCCAGCTAGACCAGATTCGGTGATTAGAGGAATCCGCGGTCCCACACTGATAGTTTGTCACGATCTTGCATTTTGGCTGCAGTACTAACTCATGCAGGTCACTTTGCAATCTTCAAGCGACGATTCTTACCACGGACCGTTGTTGTGGTTGATAACTAATTAGAGTTTCAAGAGGTTCAATCGCATCTCGTCTCTGCTTAGGTGTTGGATCCATTAGGGTTGTGGAACCGATGTGGGTCTATACTAACCGGCGATAGAGACGTGACTCTACCGTAGGATTAGGCACAGATGTAGATTTACGTGCGCAAGCAGCTTCGGCTTTTGTGAAACTAGTCCTGTTAGCTGTTAGCCTGAAGTAGAGGGTACATCGGCAGTTAAACTGAAGTCAAAACTCATGAATATTTCTAACTCACGTACCTCTTTTTCGGCCTTGTACTCTTTTATATCAACCCTTCTTCACAATCCAACGCGGGACGGTGTTAAGATATCGTCGGAGTTTACTCACGAGCTGGCTTGCATAGTTCGACATGTCCTACCGATCAAGCAGAACCCATCTATCTGTAACGACATAACCCAAACTAGCAAAAGCGCACATGGAGTTTCACGTTTACATGGACTCTTTGTTACTCTCGATGCACACACGGCACTACATAATCCCAATTCATACATATGCCACGCTACGCCATGGCGCATCGCAGTGAACGCATTCATCACATGCACCATTTCATTCCCACCATGCCCCATCCATCCTCAACACCATTTTGCATCAAACTTATCAAGATAGGCGTCTATAATACCAAATCATCGACTCGAGTCATCCAACATCCACCCTCAGTAACAGTAACCCTTGGGAAACCACCAGCATAGAGCCTCAGTACCACAACATATCAATGTTGATCTCCCATCATCATGCTGGAAAACCGAAACATTCAAATAACGCAAATTGAATTGCAGTGACTAGGATTTCGTCGAGCACTGGAAACTCAACTATCATGTAATTGCTCTACGCAGCAGACCCCCTCGTCTGGAAAACAGACCTGGGCCCCATTGCCAAAGCAATAGAATACATAACCTTTGGAGACAAGGGGCCAAAACCCAACTGGATCTCCGAGCAAGAACTGGATATCTACAGCTCCATCCTGCTCCGCGGCGGATACACTGGCCCCTTGAACTGGTACAAAGCCGCCATTGCAGATGTCGATGGGGTCATCGTCGCCAACATCCCGAAGGAGCATGATTTTTGGATTTCCCTATTCTGATCATCGCGGCAAAAAAGTGATTACCTGCCTAGGCCTGAAACGATGTTCAGGGTTGTGGAGGAGAGGAGCGACCAGGGGCGTTTGCCGGATGTGGAGGTGAGGCAGTTTGACACGGGGCGTTAGATGCAGCTTGAGAACTCTAGGGAGCTGTCTGAGACTATCGTGGAATTCGCGGAGAAAAAGGTGACGGGCGTGTATTGAGTATCGTAATAATGAGCTCGATCAGACCCACGTTGTCCGTTTGGGATTGATCCAGAGGAGAATCTCCTGGAAGCCGTTCCCAACGCTTTTCCCGCAGTCAACCAGTATCTTGACAAGCTTGAGAGGGACATATGTGAGCAGGTAGAAGATCCACAGCAGAAGGTACCATATTGCCTTCCCTGTGCAGCCGAATAACTTTCCGATGATTTCGTATGTCGTTTTGCCGAACGTGGCGATCCAATCCCAAAGCTTTGCGGGGAGTTTGATGAAGACAGCCTCAAGAACATCGACGAAGCCGTTCCAGATGTCCTGTAGAGTAATTCCACGGAAGAACGATGCAACGGCCGAAAGTACCGTATGGAGGAATGAGCCCAACCGCTTGAGGATTTCCAAAGTTGAGATTCCGGCGGCTTTGACTCCACTCCATGCCCACACCAACGCAATCTTGACAGCGCCAGGTAGGCTCTTGATCGCGTTCCAGATGAGCTTCGTAAGCCACTTCACCGCATTTGGCACCAGCTTCATGGCTTCCCATAGCGCTTCGGGCACCTCCTTTAGACCCTTCCACACCCCTTTCAACAGCTTCATCGTCAACCTCGGAAGATCTTTCCTCTTGCTCCATATTTTTTTCAAACCCGGCAGGATAACATGTTTAGGACAATCCCACAGCAGCAACTTGGGAATCTCCCATAACAACACCCTCCCCAGCGCAACAATCCACCTGCCCAACTTCCTCACCCTCCTCCCCACCGTCCTGTCAACTCTACACTTCCACCTCTTCCAACCCCCTGCCCTCCGCATAGGCAGAAACGCAACAATCTCCCTATGCCGACGCTTGGCAGCGAGATGCAGCGCCGTCTCCCCATCCGGCGCCACGAGCGCGTCGTCGGCTGCGTACTCTGATAGAAGAATACGAGCTACAGGCAGAGACCCTAGAGTGCAGGCATGCATGAGAGGCGTGCGGAGGGGTGGATATTTTTCGTGCAGCAGTTTCTTTTTCTTCTTCCATTGTAGGTAGGAATTTTGGTGATTGGAAGGCGCCGGGTTGGAAGGAACTGGACTAAATCTGTTTACATTGGCGCCGGCGTCGAGGAGTAGTTTTACCACGGCCACGTTCTCGGTGGAAATGGCTGCGAGGAGAGGCGTGCAGCCATGATTATCGGTGGATTCTGCGGATACGAGACCGGAGGAGAGGAACGCGGATGTGAGGGGTATGTTTTTGTTGGATAGGGCGAGGAAGAAGGAGGTTATTATTTCTTGTTGGAGGTTGATTTCGCGGTTTGTTGAAGATGAGTCCGGGTTGGAGGGCGGGTATGTGAGGAGCGGTAGAGGGAGGTCGGCCGCGGCCTTCCGCAGTGATTCCCGTAGGATTTTGAGTTCCACGACGGGGTCCTGAGGCTGGGAGGTGTATAGCGGTGGCGGTGGGGATTCAAGGTCCGATGGTCCTGCGATGGGAAGGTCGGCGGAACGGCGTGAATGTTCTGTACCTGTACATGCGTCGACTTCCATTTTCTTCTTGATAACGAGAAAAAGTGCTCTATGAAAGTAGACTGACGGTTTTATATTTTGGACTTGGACGTCGATGTCGTTGTTATATCGTTGCGCTGGTGGTGGCTTTGCGCAAGCTGCGATCGAGGGGATGCACAGCCACAACTGTGGCGCTCGCAACTGACTCCCGAAAGGAAACCGGGAAGCGACAAAGAACCACCAGATAAGAGAGCTGAAGACATGAGAGGTGGCTGTGATCTTGGATTTTTGGAGTCCAATTGTGTGGATGGATCGTCGCTCTTGTTGTCTTGCTGTTAGCATGTAATTATCACTTGTGCGTCAAACAGTTTGCTTCAGCTGTAAGGGGACCTGACAGCTACATTTTCCATCGTCAAGCGTTTTAAGAGCATCCAATGCTCAACTCTCTGTCTCATCTGAGAGCACCACCGGATCACAGTCTCTGCTTTGGAAGCTATGAGCTCCATCCAATTGCCTGAGGAACGCACTTTCGGATAACGCCAATAATTCCGTCCCAACATTTGAAGCGAATGTACTAAGGAAATCCCGCCTTAACATCGTCCCCTTCAGACCGCAAGGTCGGACAGACAGTCGTAAGAACGAAAAGCATCTGTATGATTGGACGGCGAAACCTAACCAAGCAAGCCCCAAAAGGCATCTAACATAATGAAATGCGAGATGTGGACCGCCTCTTAAACCCTACCAAAAACAATGGGAGAAGGCAAACAGAAGCTCATAATCACTGTCAAATGTTAATACAAACTTCTTCATTGCGGGTCAGCAGCGCTCACCTACAACATACATCGAAAGTTGAACCAGGCATACAAACTTCAAAAGCGCACGATCCCCCAAAGAGGCTGGCCATGCGATTGCTGTCCACAACCTCCCCAAGACAGCGGTGAATGCGCGATCTCCCAGCAGAAGCTCGGTCGTAGCTTTACCGGTGAGTTAGGAGGCGAAACAGAAGACGACGAAGGAACGGCCTTCCCGCATGATAGACGGTACTTCTTCTCCGGAGAGGGAATGACGTCCGGTTCCTTGTATTCATCCATGAGGACATCCCCTCCTGCGTCTAACAGTATATCAGGCTCTTCATCATCGTCGATTTCAGCGACGCTGCGTTTTCTCCCACGTGAAGTAGGTGTCATAGAGCTTGCAGTTTGGGGAGGTGCAGCAATGGTGAAGGACGGAAACGTGACCGAGCCCTCGGAAGTCGCTGAGTCGGAGACACTGCTGGAGCTCGAGGTAATGGAAGTGCTAGCCAAGCTGGGACTGCTCAACGAGATGGGGTTCCGCGCGGTCTGGGAGGTGCGCAAGACCCTGACCGTGGAAGTTTCCTTGGGCATGGATTTCGCATCCGTCGTGACAGAAACGCCGCTCGTATTCTTGCGTGTAGTATCCACAACCTTAACGATCTTTTTTCTGCGGTCGGATAGCTGACCCTTTGTAGGCGGCCTGGTGGACTCCAAGTCCTGCGTAAATAGAGCCTGTTGCTCTTTGGATGAAACGTTCCTGAGTGTCGCAGCAGCCGGCTTGTTGATTGATTCGCAAGTCGGAACCGCCTTCGCACAAGTTAGTATAACCTTAAGAGGGCAGGATCTGAGAAAACCGTACAGATACTGCCCATCTCGAATGCTCCAAACCGTAACCTGTTTTTGTGATCCTCTAGGTGGTTTATAAGCATATTCGAAGTAAGCCATAAACACTCAAGGAGTACATACAGGAATGACAACAGTGAGATAGATATCGTGTAGAGACATATTTGTGGGAGAGGAAGGCGATTGGATGGCGTCGGGGTGATTCTCAATGCAGGGAACAGTAGGTCGGGTTTGAACCATCTGATTCTGAAATGGCAGTTAGTGAACTGTGGTTGCCAATGATGGCCTTCCATCGGAGAGCATACCACTACCGTTTTGGATCCTGGGTGTTTTGCGGTCCTTGCCATTCTCTCTTGATAATGAAGCATGGGTTTCCGCCATGCATTGCCAGGATGAAGTATGAGAGCTGAAGCGAACTTAGGGAAGCACGCGGGGATTTGAGAAAGGATGTTTATGCAGGAGCGCCGAGCTTGTTGATGGTCTCTTTGCTCATAGGTGAGCAGCCTCTTTGGCTGATCGGAGGCCAAGATTGAGGTCGCAATCCAGATGCGAACTGCTCCCTCGAGGTCGCAGGAGGTAGGATATATGGTTGATGTGGAGGCGATAAACGAGACCACGGCTGCGCCGGGTGCTTGCGTGATGGCAAAGATGACCATGTGGAAGGGATCGGTTTCGAGAGACTGGAGAAGGAAGCTCATCAGCGCGGCCGTGATTGCGTGAGCTAGGATAACGGCTGAGCCGTCGACCTTCACGGTAGAGGCAGGAAAGTGTGCATGAATCTGGTGACGATTGCGAGGCTCGAAAAGAACGAGGCGGTTGTTCGAAGCCATTCCAGCATTCTGGCTGCCCAGGAAAGACGGTTTCTTGTCCAAGGCTCCGTGGGCGGACGCGATGAGTTGAGCCAGAAGGAGACCAATAACGACGCATACGAAGCAGGGTTCACCACGCCAATCGGCAAAGGAAGCTGGGAGATCCATGGGAGCGACGAATCCGCCAAAGACGAGCTCGATGATTGCGGCGAAGCACAGATCCATGAACAACAGCTTGAACAATGATAACATGCTCAGCTGGTTGACGGCCTCTGCAACAACGGGCGGTTGATCCATAATGGCAAGTCGCGCGGACGAAGGAATGTAGCAAGATGCGCAAAGCAAGCAAACGAGAAAGCTGTACTTCTCAATGGAGGTAAAGTGTGGAGTTCAGAATTTGGATTGAGGAGAGCAAATGAAGGACCAAGGTCGCCAGGCGAGAGTATAACTCGTATGCCAAGATTAGCGATTGCTAACGGCAGAAGGTTTTACCGGAGTGCGAAGACGCGGTCGCTATTCAGGTGCGAGGCGATGTCATTGTGGTGATGGCCGCCTTTCACCGGAAGTGAAACGACATTTGTCAAGCGCGGGTGTCTGGGGAACCCAGTGGCCGCCCAAGAAGACACGAATCTGCAGAGACACATATTGAATTAAAAAATTGGTTTCTACGTGAATCCAGTATTATTTTATACCGGGTATGTCCTTATGCGACGTGATATATACATATACCAGTGTTTAGGGGCTTCCCTCCAGGTGCCCCGTGGGATATAAATATACCGCGCAGGGCTGACTGTCCGAAGGCTCAGGGGGGTTTTCATTACCGTGACGTTATTTCTAGTTGTTTTCTGACTCGGGGAGCAAACATACTTGGATTTGTGAAAGTGTCCCGTCCCAGGGTCATTTTCTTCTCTGCCAAACTTGGCCAAGCATCCTGGTTTTCAACCCAACACGCGCCTTGCCTTTCTCACGCTGGATTCAAACGCTAGACACTGTGAAAGGACGACTTTATATACGTGTATACCGAAGAGAGCTGCTTAGTCACCTACACTGAAAATCATACGCAGACTGCCTTCGTATATACCGCAGTTCCACGTTCCCAGGGTTCCTTCCCTCCAACCGACATCACAACTGCCTTACGCTCCACACCACAACGGCGTCGCCGTTCCAAACTACCAACAACCATGACCCTGGCCTCCCTTCATCGCGCCTCTCTTTTCACCGTAGACAAGTACGCCGACAATGTCATCGATTCCGGACTGTATCTCTTCAACATGCATGGGCTTCGCTATTCTATGGCGGAAATCGGATGCCAGGCTCCAACACTCACGTGCATCCGAGCGGGCAAGCTCTACGCAAGACTCAAAGGCGGGGAGCATGAGAGAAGATACTGGTACCAGGTGGACCAGGTGATGCGTTATTATACGATGGAGCTTGCGCTTACTGAGGCCAAAAAGAAGGAGGTCGCAAACAAGAGGGCAGCGGAATTTCTAGAATATGGCAAGCTAGGACCTACCACTCTCATCGGAACAAGCAAAATCCTTGGTAAATACCTGGTCGCTGTCGACGGTGGTTTCTTCTTGGAGGTCGTGGATCCGACCTTCTCCGCCTTCACTCCCACACAAATGATCAACAATCCAGATCCCTACTTCGACAGTTACGGCCCTTTCCCTCGACCAACTCTTCCTGGAATTCCTGCCCCAACGACAATTACGCCGCTGCTACTTCGCGAGAATCCCGCCGCAGAGCTGGCCGAAAGCCCTCCCTTTCTATGGGCCTCCTTTCTGTTTTGTGTTGCCACTTTCTTTTTCTTTGTTTGGTTTGGAATGATGGTGGTCGGCTTCCTATTTCTGATGTTTACAAGGCTCGGGCGACTTCTATTAGCTCCACTGGTCAAGCACTCATCTGCTCCGGCAGCTCACTCTACCCCTCGGGCAGGTACTCGTTAGCAAGCGGCCAGTACTACCAAAAAGTGGGTGGATATAAGGTGTCGTGAGGCGATTCGTTTATGCATTTGTATGGGAGTTGCGATGTCGTTTCGGACGTGAGGCTGGGTTACCATTTCTTTCGATCAACATCACTTTGCAGTGACATGCATGTGATGGTCTATAATGTGGGCGTATGCATTGGACATAATACACAGTAAGGCATGTTGAAAAAACCCAATCACTCCGTAGAAAACTGATGTTTGACAACTGATACCGTGAATATGGGTATATGCCGTCTCTGTCGTAATGTTTTAACTCTTTTCTACTTCTATCGTAGCCCAGTTTGAGACGTTGACGATTTATTACCTTGATAAAGTAGCCGCTAACAGCGGTAGGGATAACAATATTGTAGGGGCGCCAGATTAGGCGACGGTCGGAGAGTAATCTTACAACTAATAGACGACTAGTTTCATATTCTCTGCGTTGTGAAAGTTCCGAAGACTTTCAACCAGCCTATACTACAGTTGATATTATGATTAGAGCACTGTCCTAATGCCAATCCTTGTGTTTTCCTACCCCTCACTTGGCCTTACCCTTAGATTTAGTGTCCATATACTTGTTTTTAAGTCGAAGCAGACATGCCAAGATCCTTAATTAAAACCCCCAAGTCAGAGGGCCTAGCAGTTGGTAGGAGTAATTAACCGCCATATACTCCAGTAAAAGCAGACCGGCAATGTGCCTCACACAGATCTCGCTTGTCCGACTTACCGAGCCATATAAAGTGCCTGATCAATCCTCAATCTTTCATGCACTCTACCTCTTTTTTTCTACGGACTTGCAGCAAGTGGTCAGAATGCACGTTTCACTGCTTCTCACCGCAGGCATATTCGCGCCCTTCGCGGTCTTCGCGTCGCCATCCAATTTCGATGGAAGTCTCCACAAGAGGGAGAATCTGTGCCACCTGAAGACCCCTCCCGTTCTCTGCCAACCCAACTCCTCCGTCACTGTAGAGGAGACGGCTCAACGAGCGTATCAGTTCTACCGTGCATTCGTGGTGGACGGCGATCCCAGGACTATGTTTTCGCTCATCGATTCAGTTTACAAAGTGAGCTTCGCCCTTTTCAGAATGTGCTCGCGAACGACATAACTGAAAGTATGTAAGCAAAATACGCCGGGATATGCAAGCGGTCCGAACACCATTTGGCCTCTCTTCTGCGGCGGCAGAAAGATAGGGACTGAGAAGAATACGGCGTGGTGTTTCGATGCTTCCACCAATATGTCGTATGCCCGATACTCTACAACGGATAGATGGCGCTGGGTTGACGGCTGTGTGCACGAACATGTAAGAGTTGTCTCGAGGTAGTTACTGACCTCATCAATGCTGACTCCCTGTAGTGGGACCAGGGCGAAAGAATCCCCTCACAAGAGAAGTGTTACAAATTGCCAACCAATGGAACGACGGTCTAGTGGCGATTCCAGCCTGTTATTGTATTTTCCATTGAAGACGATATTCTTCTCTTTGCAGAGGTTGCGAGAACGGCTCGCAAACCTTGGTGCCATTGGAAATTGGACGTCGAAAACCCCGTAAGGTTTTCCTCACCGTTGCTGTGTTTCCCTATCCTCGCAGAACCTGGAATCCACTCTTGCTGGATCATCTTGATGGTGTGACCATGCGCTCCGCTCTCTGTCTCGAAATACACAAGCGGACGACCGAGCAAGGGCTTCAGTGTAAAATCCCCCAAAAGTTGTCATGGTACAATACTGATTGTGACGTACGCTTTCACCCTCAGTAGATTGCCGCCAGTTCTATCCTCACCCTCAAGGATTAACAATTTAACATACCATAGTTGACCAGTGTCGTTCGCCCAGCTAAAGTTCTGGAGAGCTCCACATCCCTTCCCCGAATTTCGGCTTTCAGAAACATTCCAGAACCTCAACACTAGACGTTCATCAGCTGCAAAACTGCATTATAACAGCCACTGTGGGTCGAGCGCCTAAATCCAAGTCACGCTCCTTTCATCAATCCCATCTCCTCAAGGGTTGCTACCTAGGTCCAACACAACCAGCAGCCTAAACTCACAGAAAGATCGCTATACTAGCAAAGCAGGCATGATTTTTTTCGAGCGTGCCTAGGCTGTTTCCTCTCTCCATAAAACCGGGATGAAAGCCCACCGCGACACTTGGTCATCGAAATCTTGCAGTGTTAGATTCATCTATGGCATAAGTCCATGCGCAGAAAAAGCGGACACTCTCTTAGCCCAATGAAGTAAACCAACGACATTATGGACATCGTCTCCTCGCGCTTAACGATATCCCTTAGAGTAGTACTACGGCCTTGTGGGATCTGGCTCTGATAACACCCACCGGCACTTTGTCTCTCTGTAGGTTGAATTACTCGGTCAGCGCAACTCAGTTGGCTACTACCTTTTTATTCTATAAACACTCCGTAGAGCATTCTCCTAAAGTTTATTACAGGTAGATCGTGGTGCTACAACGCGGATGGGAGAGTCTGCTGTGTTGCTGCGCGTCCCCGATGGTCGATTAATTCGATCCATTGCGAACGAAGCTGTACTTAGTACAGAGGAAGTGTAGGTGGAGAGTTCAGTTGGATGTAAAGAGGCAGTAGTAAGATAACTTTGGAATAGGGAGTACCCGTTCGGGTAAGGTACCACACAGTAACTTGGAGCCCACCCGGGACCGTTTTGGCCCCCTCACACCTCACACAGAAACACCAAACATGCAAGCTCATCAGCACATCAGCACCCAAATATCAACCGATATACCGGCGGATATGCACAGACAATCTTCTCCATAATGAAACGCGACTAAGGGCAATGGAATGCGTGTGCCTTACGCATTCACACTGGGGACAACAAGTGGAAGAAACAGCGAAATGCGGCGTGTAACAGACATGGCGGTAGTTTAGAGACATGTAACAACTGCGCCGCGGCGCATCAAAGGGCCTAAATAAGGCCGCTATCCTGGTATATGGGTCGCCGTTTCATAATCGCATACGTGCCGATCTGGTGCAACGGAGACAAGGCGCCGGCACCGGAAGTTGAAACGGCTTACCGTGGCTGACGGCGTGGCGTGGGAGGTTGTGCGAAACTTTAAATAAGATGCTCATCCGCCTTTTCTTCTCAGCATTATTGAGCGCTTCTATTATTTATTATAACAAGCCGCGATACCGGATACCTACTTCTCCTCGCCATATGTATTCATGACCCCGATGTATGCTGTCAGAGCCATAGACATACAAGAAGACCGCGCCGTTATGCTCGACAGACTGCCTTCACCGACGCGCTCGCTCAACGACCTCGCGCGTGAGGAGAGATCCTTCACGTTCTCGCATTTTACGTGCGAGCATGCCTGGGTGATCGGAAATATCCTTCGCAACGCGCTGCGCACTGCAGACGCAACCGCCATAATCCACATTTCGCTGGTGTCGAACCAGACACTGTTCCATGCCCCGAGTATGCCCGGAATGATGCCAGACGACGAGATATGGGTTGAGAAAAAGAAGGCTACAGTGCTAAGATGGGGCCACAGCACTTGGTGGATGGGTTGCAAGTTCAGTATGGATGGCCAGCAATTTGCGAGCCACTATGGGCTTTCGGATTCGGAGCGAAGCAAGTACACGCTAGAAGGAGGTGGATATCCCGTTTTTGTAAAAGGCGTGGAGGGGGTTGCTGCGGCGATTGTGGTGGGGGGCTCCATGGACGGCGCGCAAGCGCATCAAGTGCTCGTGAAAGCGTTGGAAGAGTATCGGGAGCTGAGGAATGACTACAAGAGTCCCATGCGATCGACAACGGTCAAATGACAGACCGCGGATGCATCTCCGCCTTAAAGCGTTTTGAGGAGCTGCCTCCGGTAACAGGCCGAAATCCGAATCGCCCAAGGAATGCATCGAAGGCGATTGAGTATCCGAAGAGAAAGTTTCGTCCCGTGTTGATGTACGGAGGAGCCCTTTGAATTTCGGGAATTACGTGGCTGGGCGCCAAAGGGGATTGTTGACCAACGGTAAAGGAGTACCGTGCGGGCGCGGAGTCATCCAAGGATGGGAATCCAACAGTGATCGGCGTACCGAGTGAAACCCTCCTCACCCACTTAGCGAAACCGTCTTTCTTCGGGTTCCGGATGGTTATGTTTGGCGTCTCCACTCCTACGTCGGTCCGGAGGTACATGTGCTCGATGCCAGTGTCTATGAGGGCAGTGCCACAGTTGTTGCCCTGGCCGGCGACACTGAAGCACATTTCAACCATGGCCCAGTCTCGCGGATCTTCATGGTGCGTTTTCCCACGTTTCAGGGGCATGAACGAGAACCCTTCGGTATTTTCCCTGGTCAGGCCCAGAGTGACCCCTTGCGTGGATATGGTATAGCCGAGGCCGAAACTACTGGGAGGAGGTGCTTTACCATTGATCGCTATAATATTCAAGAATGGATTTGCACGAGGAGATGCGCTTGGCTGTCCGTCTGCAAGCCCGTTCCTTCCAAAACCAACGCCCATGTATGTTATTTTCGACGTATCTCGCAATACCGGTTTGGGATGGTTGGGATTGTAAGGGCATTCGAACGTGTCCACATTTGGGTCGTACCATGGACATACCTCGCTTTCATCAACAACCAGGACGGGCACCTCAGCAGTAGCATTGGACCCTCCGGGGCCGTGGAAGGTAACGGACAATTCCACCAAGCGTGCTCTGTACAGAATGTTGCTACTGGTGAAGTAGTGATGGACGGGAGTGCCTTCGTCAGGGCCGATCTCTGGGAGAAGAGGAGCACCGATCAAAAGACCGGTAGAGCCTGTGTCCACTGGAAGATCCAGGTCCATACCACCCACTGTTGCTCTGAGCAAAGGTATGCCCTTTGTTCCGAAGGGATGGACGAAGGGGAGGAAGACGGAATCGGTGTTTTGGGCGGAGGAGTACATTATCGGCGTCTGGTAGAGGAGAGAGTAGCCTGCCAGAATCAATAGAACTGTGACAACTCTGGAGACATGCCAGCGCGTATATGTTCGGGTCAGGGAGGGCCGTGCTCGTGAGGGGACGACGTGGGACGAGCGCATAGGTTGCAATGGAAACCTGTTGTACTCTCCCTGCTTCAGTCCACCAACATCGAATCCTAACTTCCCCATTGTCAACGACCCGCCACCCTGTTTCCAAGTTCGCAGACTCCCTAAATAGTGGAATTGCCAGCACACGAAAGTCCTGATCGTTCAATGAGTTGGCAATGAATTAGCCGGCCCGAAGTGGTGCTGGTGGTTAAGCTCGGCATTGATATTGATCTTTGCCACCCGAGTTCTCCATCTCCTATTCATCTGAACCACATTTCGGCTGCCTCTGGCCCAGGCACAGGAACGGCTCTCGGAATATTGAAGATGCAGAGACCGACAAAAAGCAATACTCAAGCCCGTCAGCATCGAAGCTTCCACGTGATGATCTGCCTTGGCGCGGATCCGGGGTGTCGTGCAACTGCAACATTATGGGGACAAAGGACCTGGCCTTGGAATTACTGTTGTGCTACCGCACTGGAAAGTGGGCAATCAGCTCCGCCATAGTCTCCTCAATCGCCTGTCTTCTCGAAGCGCAACGTACTTTCCATTCCCTACACAACATGCGCCCATAGATCCCATGGCCCGCTCCCCTTCGCGCTCCAGTGATGGAGGATCTCAACACCAAGTCCGCGCTGAGCCCCGCCTGCTCAAGGCTGTTGAAGATGGGAAACTTGACGATGCGATCGCGATTATCGAGCATGCGAAGGCACATTCGCAACCGACCGAGCATCTCCTTCGAATCGGTTTGATGCGCGCGGCCGAGCGCGGAAACGATGCCATCGCCGAATACCTCCTTAAAAGCGGTGCGAAGCCCGACGGGGCCGCGACAGGACGTGTGAGCCCGCTGCTCAGATCCATTGAGAAGAATCATGTGGCCATCGTGAAGCTTCTACTGAAGTTTGGGGCCAATGTCGACGCGAGCGACAAGCAGGGACGCACGGCGTTAATGTCCGCAGCCTGGCGAAATCACTTCCATATCGTCGAAGTGCTGTTACGCTGCGGCGCCGATGTCAATAAGAAGGATAACGAAGGACGGAATGTACTCCATAACCTGGCTGCCGATAAGCACTGCAACTGGGGTCGTGACGTTATCGAAGTGTTGTTAAAGACAAACATTGCTATTGATGGACCAGAGGGTCAAGATGGATTGAAGAGAAGTCCGCTGCATTGGGCCGCCGTAACAGGGAAAAAGGAGTTGTGCGAAATGTTACTCACAAGGCCTCGACTTCCTCGAGCCCAAGTGAACGCTGTTGAAATACGCGAGAAGACTAGTTTGCACCTGGCCGTCTCGCATGGACGCGATGATATTGTTGAGCTCTTGCTCCATTATGGCGCAGATGTAAGAGCAAAGAGCGACGGATCATGGACCCCTCTACACAACGCCTGCGAGAAGGACAACGTGAAGATTGTGAAGATGCTATTGGAAGCTGGCGCAGAACTGAATGCGAAGCTGCTGAACGGAATGACGCCTCTCCATGTTGCCGCACAAGCTGGTCACTTGGAAGTCGTCAAGTGTCTGATGGAGCGGAAAGACCTGAAGCGGACTGCTCGAGATAACTTCGGCATCACGCCGTTCCTACGCGCTGCTCAAAGCAAAAGGAAGGACATCGTCTCTCTCCTTGCGCCCTCTAACAATGTCGAAACGCTGAGTGAGGATGCTTTGGGCGCATGCAACGGGTTCAACGCGACGATAGTGGACTTTGGAAACTTCCATAACGAGAACAAAGTTAGGAAACGTACGGTGTATGAGTTACTGTACGGCCGTGACCCAGTCAATCCACGAAAGCCTGCTATTTCAATCCTTCCCAAGGACTCCAAAGCCACCAACTTCCGATGGATACATCTCCCGGCCAACAATATGGCATGGGTCGAAGCAATCCTTACCAAGGCCTTCATAGAGGAAGGCGCAAGTGATGTTGAAGGCTTCAAGGCGTTGGAGCGGTCCTTCAATCATCAACATCGTGGTCAGCAGATACATTCTCATTTCATGAGACCCCTCTGCCAGAGCACGCCGAGAGCGCCAAAACATACAGAGGAGTCGGACTTCTCCGATAGTGCTGCGGAGCATAGCATGCCTCAAATTGTCATCAACGGCAGCGGTGGGCTCGGTATTAATACCACCGCAGGGGCCCAGGATCCCAGTACTCCGAGAACGCCTGCTCGAACCGACACCTTAAGTACAGATCAGACGGATTGGACACGTAGCTCAGTTAATGCTGGGCCGAGTAACAACAAGAAGGAATCTGGCAAAGGCAAGGAAAAGCCAAAGAAGAACGCCAAATGGAGCGGCGGCCGCCAGGGAAAGAGTGGAGGGACGGAAACACCGACTAGGCAGACTGACCACAATGCCCGACGGAAAGCAAGTCAACCTTTAACAAGCAGTGGGCATCTGAGATCCCCGGGCAGCCCTGGGAGAAAAGATCCCACGACCACTGCGAGGGGGAACATTTTTACTTTCATGCCTTATCTGCATTTCGAAACAAATCGACGGCGTCAGGCGATGCAGGCCGCTATTGCTCGTGCCGAAATGCTCAGGAAAAAGCGAGAGATAGAGGAAGGTCGGAATGTTCCGTTCAAGCGGCCTTCAACATATGATGAGATGCTGCTGCGAGCGCACTTGTCGAGCTCAACTGTTTCACTTCACGTTCGCCGTACGCTGGATCAGTTTTACTACCATAATATCGATACACAATCGCGTGATGAGGACCAAGTTGTATACCGCTATCAGATGAAAGACCGCTTCAGAGGGAAATCGCAGTCTCTCCAAGATGGCGATGTAGATCCCAAAGTGTTCATGGTGGACCAGCTCTGGATGTGGGTACTGGGCAAGGACCTAATTGTGACCGCGTTCCCACAGCGCTGGCAGCAACCGAAAAATGACCCTCTCAATGTCCTGGACGCCATCATTGAGGACATCAACAGCAAAACCCGGGAACCCGTCCGCTCAGTGTACGACCTCGCACTTATCATCACGGGTCGTTGTATCGCCGTCTTCGATCGCAACCGCACGGATGAGACGTCATACCAGTTTCTCGACATGTTCGAGGCATCAATCGGTGATGCGACAGAGGAAGAGACCAAGCTCTTTAGGGAGTTCAACATCGCTTCAGCCCAGGCATCACAGTGGCTACAACATCATCGGCGCCCTACGCGGTTCTCGCGCCACCTAGAAGCTGAAGTAAGAGTAATCGAAAACCAAAACAAGCACGCCTCTACTCCTCACTCGCATAACCATGCCCTGACTGAGGACCCTATCCATGAGGACAAGTATATGCAGGGACCCGCCCACGCGCCGCTCTTCGTCGACAAGCTCCTCGACATCGGCGCAGAAACCGATCTCTTGGCCGAAGCCAAAGACATTCGCGATGAGCTTAACATGATCGCCAAGGTGCTAGAAGACCAACGGGCCGTTCTCCCTGATCTGGAACTCGCGATAACTGACATCTACCGCGAGGAGCACAAATCTCAAACCGAAATCAAACGCCGCTTCCGCGACCAACTTAAGACTATAGACGTTCATATGAAGGATATCGATCGCATGGACAAGCAAGCCGAACGTATTTACAAGAGTATCACTGACTTGCTGGACTTGAAGCAGAAGCATGCCAACGCATTCGAAGCTCGCTTTGCGCGAGACCAAGCTGCTGGTACCGCTCGCCAGTCTCAAACCATCATGGTCTTCACAATCGTCACCATTGTCTTTCTTCCCCTATCATTCATCGCCGCCATCTTCACAATCAATATCCGCGAATTTCCGCATCCCGCTGGCGGCTCTGAGCCCAGTCTTCCGCTGTCTTACGTCTCAAAGTACATGTTCGGTATCGGCTTCTCGATTTCCATCCCGCTCGTTGTCGTAGCACTTAAGCTCGACGCCATAGGCGACTTCTTTCGCGAGAAAGTCAAGCGACCATTCCTAGGTCTGCGATATAAGAGATCCAGAGGCAAAGCAGTCAGCAACAACTCTGCAGCAGGCCAGGGCTCTGTCGTCTCGCTCGACAAGGGAGACGGCGTGTCCTATGTCGTTGACACCTTCGCTCTCGAACAGGCGCTCAGTGCGGGACGGAGCACGCGAGGTAGGAGAAGCTACGAGAGTCAGTGTCCGTATCTCGGCGGAGAAAGCTTATTGCCAGTAACAAGTCGAGGGACGGGGACCACTGCGCAACACGGTCATGTCAATGGAGGTGGGCTTGGCCATGGGAAGCCTGTGGAGGTTGATGTTGCAAGGCCTGTGCATCCACCTGAGAGGGTCAGTACTGGGTTTAGGATTCGGAGGAGTGCGGATGTGGAGAGGGGATTGTGAGGGTGTTGTTTGGCTGTTGGATATATGTACGTGTTTGAAATACCTTTTTGGTTTCGCTTTGTTTCTCGATTGGAGCGCTGGGCATTGCATATAGCGACGAGTAATGATCATTGATTTTATGTGTTCAGCATATAACTTCATGCTTCTCAGGATAAACAGTAGTCTACTGTGCTTAGCTTTGGCGGTAACGTACCTCACGGGCGAGCCGTCCACACGGGCGAGCCGTCCACTTTTGCCAAGACCCTACCAAAATCCATACTGTTTACGACAGTATAATACAACCATGAACAATCTTCAAAAATCGTAATAAGCCAATCTATTCAGAATCTACTTCTACTTCTTTCTTACATGTGCGCAAGTTGTGCCCAGTCTCACCGCAGCATCCACAGCGTCGTTGAGTAGGCTCACCCTTATCAGCACGTGCTCTCTTCTTTGCCTTCTTCTCATCACCACGCGCTGCAAACTCCTTAAGGGTAGCTAGCCGCAGGCCCTCTTCAGCTGTTAGTACCCCTTTACGCTGTACGTACTTTCTTTTATATGTGTCAGATTT